CCGGGGGGGGGTCGGGGTCCGGCTGCTTGTCGCCCACGGCGCGACGACGGCAGGCGTGGGAACAGCCCGACCGCTCTCAGCACCGTCTCCCTCAGCAGTCGGGAGCCCGACCCCCCCCCGATTACCTGGCCGTAGCGGGGTGGGCAAGAGCTGGACGAAGTCGTCGGTGTCGGCGTTAGTGCCGTGTGGGTGAGCGTGGTGGTCAGCTCGGTGCGCGCGCAGCTCAGCGCGCAGGTGGTACACGTCGTGCTCTAGAATGCGGAGATCTTCGCGAAGATTCGCTCGAAGCACGCGTGGGGCGTGGCCAGGTGGTTCAGGAAGGTCGCGCCCGTGCAGGACGGGCACGTAGATGACAAGGTTCTGGTGCCTATGCTCGATGAATTGGCAGTGGTATTCTCGAAGCGGGCCAGGCAGTAGCTGAGGGTGAAACGAATTGCATGTGCGGGCATTGCGGCGCTGGGCTGGTGGCTCCATGGCGGCAGTACCTGCGAAGACTTGGGATGGGGTAGGAGGCATCAGCATGACAGTCTCGCCGCGCGAAGGCTGCCTCCTGGGGCTCGCTCTGAGTGGATACTCTCGAGCCGAGACTAGAGAGAGAGAGAGAGAGAGAGAGAGAGAGAGAGAGAGAGAGAGAGAGAGAGAGAGAGAGAGAGAGAGAGAGAGAGAGAGAGAGAGAGAGAGAGAGAGAGAGAGAGAGAGAGAGAGAGAGAGAGAGAGAGAGAGAGAGAGAGCGATATATATATATATATATATATTAGAAGAGAGAGAGAGAGAGAGAGAGAGAGAGAGAGAGAGAGAGAGAGAGAGAGAGAGAAGAGAGAAGAGAGAAGAGAGAGAGAGAGAAGAGAGAGAGAAGAGAGGAGAGAGGAGAGAGGAGAGAGGAGAGAGAAGAGAGAGAAGAGAGAAGAGAGAAGAGAGAAGAGAGAAGAGAGAAGAGAGAAGAGAGAAGAGAGAAGAGAGAAGAGAGAAGAGAGAAGAGAGAGAGAGAGAGAGAGAGAGAGAGAGAGAGAGAGAGAGAGAGAGAGAGAGCGAGAGACGAGAGAGAGAGAGAGAGAGAGAGCAGAGAGAGAGAGAGAGAGAGAGAGAGCGGGAGAGAGCGAGGGAGAGCGAGAGAGAGCGAGAGAGAGCGAGTGAGAGCGAGAGAGAGAGAGAGAGAGAGAGAGAGAGAGAGCGAGAGAGAGCGACAGAGAGCGAGAGAGAGCAAGAGAGAGCGAGAGAGCGAAAGAGAGAGAGAGAGAGAGAGAGAGAGAGAGAGAAGAGAGAGAGAGAGAGAGCGAGGGAAGAGAGAGAGAGAGAGAGATAGAGAGAAAGAGAGAGAGAATAGAGAGAGAGAGAGAGAGAGAAGAGAAGAGAAGAGAAGAGAAGAGAAGAGAAGAGAAGAGAAGAGAGAGAGAGCGAGAGAGAGAGAGAGGGAGAGTGAGAGAGAGAGGAGAGAGCAGAGAGAGAATAGAGAGAAGAGAGAGAGAGAGAGAGAAAGAGAGAGAGAGAGAGGCAGAGATAGAGGCAGAGAGAGAGAGGCACAGAGAGAGAGGCAGAGAGAGAGAGAGAGGCAGAGAGAGAGAGAGAGGCAGAGAGAGAGGCAGAGAGAGAGAGAGAGAGAGGCAGGGAAAGAGAGGCAGAGACAGAGAGAGGGCATAGAGAGAGAGAGAGAGAGAGAGACAGAGAGAGCAGAGAGAGAGAGAGAGGCAGCTCAGTCACACTTAAATCCAGATTCGTCCTCTCCGAGTCCCACCGCCAAGGGAGCGCCAGCAAGGAGATGCACATATGGGGATCCCCACGCAGTGAATAATAATTAATTTTATTATTACTATTATTATTAGTAGTATCGTCAGCATTATCATCATTAGCATCATCATCATCAGCATCATCATCATCATCAAGCCCTGGCCCGAGGTTCCAGGGGCATGAGGGCCCTACCGCAGTCTGTTGCCGTCTTACACTTCTTCTCGGCACTGCGATACGTGTTCCCCATTTAGATGATAGTGCAGAGGAACCCTCTGTCTCTCTCTCTCTCTCTCTCTCTGATTGCGACCGGCGTCTCGAAGTGGCACAACAGATCGAGTTTGCAGACAATGTCCTTTTCTCTCCAATACGACTGCCAAGAAGAATACGGATCACCCGACATATCATGAGCTGTACATGCACGAGAGTTTCCTGACGCAGAAGTTCGGATGGAGCGGGGCGCGGGGAACCTTGCGAACAAGAGTTGTGGGGTGGAGATCTGGCGCAACCGCAGGAGATTCAGGAGAGCCCACCTCTTTCACTTCAGGCCTGTGCAGGGCTCCCTGCACGGACGCATAGGAGCAGTGAAAGTGATCACCCGACCTCACGTTGATTGTGAGCTACTTCCCGCCTCGATGTATCGAGGCAAGGGGCATCGCGAGGTATGAGACGACAGTTAGGAGGCTGGTGGAGACGCTTTACACCATCATTGACGGGTCCCCGAACAGGAGCACAGTCATTGCGTCGACCTACCTCAACGACGGAATTGGCTTGCGGTCGAGCGAGGGCTTCGTGCAGGAGGTGGATCGCGTGAGCCTGGGGCCTTACTCGAGGACGTTGGAACATGTGGCGGGCACGACCTGTCTAGAGTAGCTGAAGGACACAGGCCTGGCTACGATTACGAGCTGGTCCCCCTGCGGCCCCACCTTCCATGGACACAAGAGCTCCAGTTACATTGACTACCTAGCGATCTCGGCCCCGTTGCTGCCGAGGGTGCAGCGGTGTGCGATAGCCTACAACCTCACTCGCAGAGTGCGCGCTATCCCGTCCATCGCGATGCTTGACCACATGGTAACCGCGGCGGGTATAGACTACAAGCTCACCTTCCAGGCCCCCAGGGTGGGCGTGACAAAATGGGACTCGTTCTCCCTCAGTAAAGTGCTGATGGATGAGGAGGAGGAAGGGCTGTTCAGAAAAGAAGTCGAGCTGGCGCTGGAGCGGCGCTTGCGTGAAGCAGGACGCACGGAGGTCACCGCCTGGATGCGGGATCGCACGCTCGAGTCTTCGTGGGCAAATATGGTCAATACTATGAGCTCAAACACGACGCGCGGACAGTCGTAAAGATTGGCCAAGCTGGCGCGTGCGGATGGTGCGGGAGAGGGAGGCAGCACTCCGCGCACGTACTGTAGCACGTGACGATCTAGGCGGCAGCCTGGAGAGCGTGAGGTACTTGAGACAGTGTGCGCGACAGTGCAAGGCAGCGCATTCCTGACTTCGACAGGAACGCGAATCCGACCTACGCGACCAACTGGCAGCAACGCTTCGGGCTTACAGAAAAGACGTGGCAAGGCGCGTGTGCTTCGAGATGGCAGGCAATGGGCCGGCACCTCGCAGACGTAACTTATGCGTGCTTCCCGACTAACCGCCAAATCTCCATGTATGGACTGAGGGCCTGGCTCTCGAGGGGGGAGAGGGTGGTCTCGCAGCGGGGCAGGTCGAGCAGGAACAGTTCATCGCGAAGGTCGCGGAGCAGGACTACCCGTTCTACCCTGAGATGGAGCACTGGGAGGTGGCCAACCGTGACCTCAACGGGCTGGCCGAGAAGTTTCCGAGTGGCCGTGCTTCCCCGCGCTGGTCCATGCCGACGGAGATATGGTGCTTGCTGATGTCTTGCAGAGCCCAGCGAAGTGATCGAGGAGGGCGGACGCCCATCATGGGCCCTGTGCTACTGGAGTTTCTATTGGCGCAGCTGGCAGGTGTTAGACAGCGCAATCGATTCAATGCGTGGTGGAATATATCACGAGGGACACGTCTACTACGTGGACTCTGCTGTTTCGGCGAGGCATGGGTCGGCGCTCGACACCTGCGCGACGATCCCGCGAGGGCCGCGGCTACGTGAAAGGGGCGATCCAGGGTGGGGGCGCTCGTTGTGGGCAGCGTGCTGCAGTGGCACCTCTCGGCAGCGAAAGTCAGCCACATTGCCGCCGCGCACGGCGCGGCGAACGCGTTTGCCGGCGTCTGCCGCGAGCACCTCGACAAGACGGTGTGCCAGATATATCAGGTAGAGGACGCGCAGATCATGATCCCCAGACATCGCTGCGCAGCGCGCGTTGTGAACGCACGCGACGGGGGCGGTGCCTTCGTCAACGCCGCGGGGTGCTTCATGGGCGGTTCCGACGTGACCTGGGCGTTCGGAAGTGCGCGGGCGTCCTGACCTGCGCGCGCGGTCGCAGATGCGCGCGGCGCGGCCGCGAAGGTCGAGACCTCGGATCGCTGCCTGGACGAGGTCCTCAGCCGCGTCGGACTGGCGCAGAGTCGCGAAAAAGAGCTGCGGCTCTTTACTTCGTGGGAAGAGGTTCGCAGTGATCCTGGGCTCCTGAGTGCGCCCCAGAGGTCGCCCCGAAGGGCCGCGCGAACCCCTGGGCCCTGCAGTTCCAGAACGATCTGTTCGATTTGTTATACTTGGGTAGGCTCGAGCGCCGTGTAGAGTCTCTGGGCGACGTTGGTAGCGAGTCCCTGAGAGTGTTCCAGAGGCCGGAGCTGCGCGGCAAGTTCCTGAAGTTCAACATGGAGAAACTTCGAGGACACTGGCAAGTGCTTCGAGGGTGGGTATCTATGCTCTCTACTTAACGAGGGCGGCTTGGGGCCTGAAAAAGGTTCCGCGCGGTTCGCGCCGCTCGAGCACCTCGAACGCGCGGGTGGGGAGGCGGGCGCGGACAACTAAACGTGTTCACCGACGGGTGCCTCAACATTTGCACGCGGGCGCACTGCCATCGATCATATCGCAGCAGCGTGCCGACAGGAGATGCATTGCCCAGAAGTCGACGCTCAACTGCCCCGTCGTTCTTCCGCATCAGTTCACGTGCCCCGAGTCGGAGTGCGCAGTCGAGTTTGCCGGCCTACCCGCGCTCCAACTGCGCCTGGCGACCGTGCGCCTGCTGCAGCCTTTACCGCGCGTCGCGGTTGCAGGTCCCGCTCGAGGCGCTCGGGGAAGACGCGGCCGAGCCGTGCGAGATGAAGCTGCAGATGAGAGGAGACCGGCGGTCGCGAGTGGCATCGGGGGCAAGTGTGGTAGCGGCAGGCAGCGCGAAGAAGGGAAACCCGAATGTCGTGGGCACCTCAGAGCTCGACGGCATGACGACGGAGACCAAGGCAATCCAGGAGTGCCCCGCAGGTCTCCCGCTGGCGGAGGCCGACGAGAGGATGGCAGAGATGGGCCCCAACTCAGTGGCGCGCCACGCGGGGATCTTCGAGGGCATCCCAGCGGAGGGAGCGGGGGAGAGGAGCGCGTACAAGACGCAGCTCGAGGATCACAACAAGCAGCGGCAGCAAATGAAGGTCAGTGTTCCGCAGATGGGAGAGCTCGAGCCGATGGTGAAGATCACGGGCTGCCACGAGATATGCAAGGTCAAGCTCGTCCTAAGCGTCGCGGGCGGCAAGGCCCACGACCGACCAGTGTACGAGGCGCTGGACCAGGTGGGCGCAGTCTCACAAGCAGGGCATGGCCCCGGGGGGCCACTGCGAGTGCCTGGTGCACACCTGATACCACTGCGATGATGGAGGAGTAGGTGTCAGGACTCTCGAGGAGAAGAACGGCGGACCGAGGAACTCTTAAAATGCCTGAGCCATGCAGCCAGCACGCCGATCCTCAGTTTCCCTACTGGCCCCCTCTTCTGCTCCGAACCTCGCCACTTTTACCCCGCCCCACCCAGAGCCAGAGCAGCACGTGTCAAACTGGGCCCGAGCTTGTTGCCTCTCCAGTCCGCAATCGTACGGTCGATCATCGCACGAGTAGGAGTTCTTTCAGAGGCCAGGTGGTGGGTGGAGAGCCTCGTGGGTGCCGACCTGTGAACGAAGAAGTTGGAACGCGCAGACGCGTGAAGATTACTGATGCCTCGAGGGTCCCTGGTCCCCCTGAGCGCCCCTCGGAGCTATACGGCCTCGGGGACGGGTTTTTCTGCGCGGGGGAGCGGCTCGGATGTGAGCGCTGCTCTGCGGCTTCTGGGGGCGCCGCGACAACAACCGTTATAGTCACGGCCGTGATTCGCGACCGTGCTCGGTCACGTATTGCATATTGAAGCTCGCGCGAGCCCGATCCCAGGGTTTCGAGTGCACGGGACTCCTGCTGGCCCCCGATGGGTTTTGATTTAGTCTGATCTGATCTGATCCGATCTGATCTGATCATCGTCGTCGTCATCATCATCATCATCATCATCAGCTGTGCCGTGCCATAGAGCGAAGAAAGTTGCCCTGCCGTGCCGCGCCGTGCCTGTGCGAAGAAGTTGCCATGCCGTGCAGGCTCGGTCTTGACCAGACGCCAGGCGTGCGGCCGAGAATTCGAACGAGTGGCTGGGAGGATGTTTTCGATCAGCTGCCGTGTTTCGAGTTCGGTCTTGTGTAAAAAGGTATTCGGCGCGCGCTGATACATGTATCATCTGATGCCTCCGACGTCTGAGTTTTTTTTTGTTTTTGTTTTCCGGACCCTCTAGTGGAGTTGGGTCTTCGTTTTGAATTCGCAGCGCCGTGCGTATTTTTTTCCCCCTCCTCCTCCTCCTCCTCCTCCTCTTCCTCTTCCTCCTCCTCCTCCTCCTCCTCCTCCTCCCCCTTCTCGCGTCCCCCAGAGTATCCGAGCTCCTCCTCCTCCTCCTCTTCCTCCTCCTCCTCGTTCTCGTCAGCATCGCCATCTTCATTTGCATTCAAGTACCACCCTTATCATTCTCATCACACTTTCGTCACACCCCTCACGCGTTTCGTGGCCTCATAGGGAGCTTCACCTACCCTTCCCGACCATTTCGGCTCACCCCTGACACGTTTCGTGGCCCCTAGGGAGCTCCAACGAAGGCCCCAGTGGCCGCGTTCGCATACTGCCCCCCGGCCATTTCGGCTCACCCCTGACACGTTTCTTGGCCCCTAGGGAGCTCCACCGAAGGCTCCAATGGCAGCGTTCGCATACCGCTCCCCGGCCAGTTCGGCTCACCCTGACACGTTTCGTGGCTCCTAGGGGGCTCCATCGAAGGCCCCAGTGGCAGCGTTCGCCTACCGCTCCCCGACCATTTCGGCTCACCCCTTACACGTTCAGTGGCCTCACAGGGAGCTCCACCGAAGGCCCCAGTGGGAGCGTTCGCGTACCGCCTCCTAATCGTTCCCGATCCATTTGATGGTCCTGGGGCCCGATGCTTGGCCCTGGAGGCCGAAATCTTAGACAAAACTACCAGATTGAACAAAATCATCTCGTCGGAGATCTGGGGTGGTAGTTTCGTGGTCTTTCTGGTCAGCATATGCGAAATTTTTTGTCCGTCGCCGCGCCGGTGCGCGCCCGCGCGATGCCGGAGGGGCTCGGGGAGCCCCTCAGCGCCAGCTCGGGGGTTGCCAGAGGTGGTGCTGGCCCAAGTTGTCCCAGGCTTTTGGAGCTAAGTTTTGGCCCTTGATGCCCTCTGGGCTGATCTGAAGGTCACTTGGACCTCCCAACGACCGCCTGTGGGATCGATCTTCGGAGGGTTATCCACAGCCACCACCCTTTCGAGGCGGGGATTTATCCACAACCACTGCCTGGGGGATCGATCTTCGGGGACCTCGGTAGGCGGTGGATCTGGATCTATTCGGGCCTTTTTCGGGCCTATGCATATATGTATCTATATATATATGTATGTACATACGCACATACATACATGCATGCATGCATGCATGCACACATACACCCATACACACATATATATACACATATATATATGTACAACTTTACATACATATCACATCCATACATACAAAAACATACATACATTCACACATACATTCATGCGCATACACATATACACACAACATGTATGCATGCATGCATACACAGGCATGCACATACATAAAACATATATACAAACATACAGACATCCATCCATCCATCCATCCGTACATACATACATCTACACAAACATGCATGCATGCATGCATGCGCACATCTATACATACAATCACACACATACACATACACATACATCCATACATACATACCTCCATGCATACATACACATACACACATACATACATGCATGTATGCATACATCCATACAAGCATACATGCATACATGCATACACACACGTATACGCTTACGTATCTATATATATATATATTTACAGAACACATGCATTCATGCATACATGCGTACATACACATACACATATGCATGCATACATACACATACATACATTACATAGCCAATCGCATACACATATACATGTACATACACTCGTGTACATTTACGTATACATGTGCGCACACATATAACTACGCATGCATATACATACATAAACACATACGCACACACATATATATATATATATGTATATATATATACTTAGGCACATCTACGTACGTATATACTTTTCTTACACACATATCTATATATACACATCCATAAAAAAGGTTTTGCCCCCTGCCGCTGGTCCCCTCTCTATCATAATGGGATATATCAGATTCGCGTCGTTGCGTCTCGGCGCTGCCTCGTCGCATCTAGGAACGTCATGCGGGGGCGTATAGGAATCATCAACGCGTATTGAGACGTTGGCGTTATCGAAGGCGCCTACGGCGAATCACCGCCGCCCCCTGCCTTTTTGGTGGCCGACCGTTGAGGCCAGACCTGCCAAGCTATCGGACCATGTGTTCCCCGAATCGGTTTGGAAACCCTTCGGGGAACACGAGGGCATCTTGAAGGTCATCTTGGCCGCCTGGAGGCCATTTTGACCCTTTCGGGCCTTCTTGGAGGACTCCTTGGAGGGCTCTTGGGCCGTCTTGGAGGCCATCTTGAGCGTCTTGGAGGCCTCTTGGGCCGTCTTGGGGGCCTCTTGGGACCATCTTGGGTCTCTTGGGCGATCTTTGGGGGCACTTGGGCTGTCTCGGGCAGTCGGAAGGCCGAATATAAGCAAATGCCACAATCCTTGAACATCTCATGGGAAATCAATGATTTTGGCCCTTTCGGGCCTTCCTGGATGCCCTCTTGGAGGCCTCTTGGGCCGTCTTGGGCCATCTTAGTGCCATCTTCGGCCGTCTTGGTGGGCCTCTGGCCCGTCCGACGCCGTCGGAAGCCGTTTGGGGGGCCTCTCTGAGCCGACTTGGGGCCCTCTTGGAATGCTCCAGGGCCGTCTTGGAGGCCATCTTGGGCGTCTTGGAGGCCTCCTGGGCCGTCTTCGTGCCGTCTTGGGTCCGTCTTGGGGGCCTCTTGGGCAGTCCTGAGGCCATCTTGGGGGCCTCTTGGGCGATCTTTGGGCGATCTTTGGGGGCTCTTGGGCCGTATCGGGCCGTGGGAAGGCCGAAACGAAGGGGAACACGTGGGCATCTTGAAGGTCATCTTGGCCGTCTTGGAGGCCTCTTGGGCAAGCTTTCGGCGATCTTTGGGGGCTCTTGGGCCGCCTCGGGCCGTCGGAAGGCCGAAAGGAAGCAAATGCCAAAATCCGTCAGAAACCTCAGGAACATCAATGTTTGTGGCCTCTTCTGGCCTTCCTGGAGGCCCTCTTGGGGGCCTCTTGGGCCGTCTTGGGCCAGCTTCGAGCTAACTTCGGCCATCTTGGTGGGTTCCTGGCACGTCTGACGCCGTCGGAAGCCGTTTGGGGGGCCTCTATGGGCCGACTTGGGGCCCTCTTGGAATGCTCCAGGGCCGTCTTGGAGGCCATCTTGGGCGTCTTGGAGGCCATCTTGGGCGTGTTGGAGGCCTCTTGGGGCCATCTTGGAGGCCACTTGGGCCGTCATGGGGCCCTCTTGGGGGCCTCGTGGGCGATCTTGGGGGCCTCTTGGGCCTTCTTGAGCCGTCGGAAAGCCGAAAAGGCGCAAATGCCAAAATCCTTGAAAAACCTAAGGAAAATCAATGATTTGGGCCTCTTCGGGCCCTCCTGGACCTCTTGGAGGCCTCTTGGGCCGTCTGGGAGGCCTCTGGGGGACCTCTTGGGCCGTCTTGGGCCGTCTTCGACTCTCTTGGGCCGTCTTGGAGGCCGTCTTGGACCATCTTGGGCGGATTTGGAGGCCATCTTGGGCCATCTTCGCGATTTTTTGAGGATGTCCCGAGCGAAACGGCAGTTTTTGGAGTCGTCTTGGGCAGGAAATTTGGGAATTGGGCATTTTCCGGGTGGCCGGCGGGACGGGCCGAAGCCCCAGGGGGAGTTCTTTTGGAAAAAGAACCAAAACCAAAACCGAGAGGATTCAGCACGCCAGGCACCCCTTTGCTAAAGCAAAAGGGGTCTGAGGCCTCTTGTATATGTGTTGGGGTGTCGTGGGGGGCCTCCCGGAGGCCTCCTGGAGGCGGTTTCGGCGCCTCTTGGAGGTCTCTCGGGGCCTCGTGGCGTATCTTTTGGGCTTTTCGGAAGCCTCTTGGGGGCCTCTTGGACGCCTCTTAGGGCCTCTTGGCGGCCTCTTGAGGCCTCCTGGGGGCTTCTCGGGGCTTTCCGGAGGGCTTCTTGGGTCATCTTGGAGCCCTCTTGGTCCGTTTTGGGGC